AGTGGAAGACTTGAAGAAGGAGCGGAATAAATTGGAATTGTCCTCTACTGGCAACAAGGCTGAACTACAAAAACGTCTGTTGGATGAGTTCGAGCGCCGTGGTATGAACATCGATACATATGAGTTTGACAGTAAGGATGAAGTGGATTTATCGGAAATGGGCGAATCCAACGGTGGGGAAGTCTCGTCAGTAGCTGCCAGGGGTGACGATTTCAGAGAAATGCTGGCTAAAATGTTCGAAGAGAATTCCAGAAACACGAGACGAATGTTCGAAGAGAATTCCAGAAAGTCAGAAGAAAACTCGAGACGAATGTTCGAAGAGAATTCCAGAAAGTTAGATGAACTCAAGGCGGAGAATTGTAGAATGTTTGACGAAAATTCGAGAATAATGAACGAGAAACTCGAGAAAATTACAGAAGTTATTGGAAGGAGAGTGGAAACCGTGGAGGTCCAAATTAAAGAGTTGGATAAGAAAGTGCAGTCGGTCGACGAGAAGATTCTGTCTGTGGATGAGAAATTTCTGGCCCACGACCACAGGTTTACGAATCTGGAGAAGAAAATTTCGGAACTGGAAATTAAAGGTGGTCCGGTGCGAGTTCCTGATAACGCACTAAAAATCAAACCTCCTGTATTCGACGGCTCTACGTCATTCAATGTTTTCAAGTTACAGTTCGAGACAGTGGCTTCTAGAAATTCGTGGAACGACAGCGACAAAGCGGTTGCACTACTTCTGGCATTGAAGGGCAGTGCTGCTGATGTTATACAGAGTATTCCTGTCGCTTCTAGGAACAACTATGAAGATGTTATTGCTGCACTGGAACGTAAGTACGGTGGCGAACATAAACAAAACATCTACCTTATGGAACTAAGGGGAAAAGTACAGAGGGCAAACGAGACGCTACAAGACTTTGCAGCTGAGGTGGAACGTTTGGTGCTAATGGCGTATCCAGGAGAGAATCACCCATTGCTGGACCGTATGAAAATCGAAACCTTTGTGAATGGCATACGTGACCCTGAGATTAAATGTGCAACATATGCGTCACCAAAAGCGTCGTTTGCCGAAACTGTGTCGTTTGCCCTTGCCCAAGAGACGGCAAGAATGATTGTTAAGCCCCAGACCCACAAGATTAGCCAACTGGAGACCGAATGTTGCGAACACAAATATCTCGTTAACTTGATCAAGGACGCATTGAGGCGGGTAATAGAAGAAACAAAGTTAGTAGGGGTGACTAAGCCCAGGGTTAGATGCTACAACTGCGATAAAGCAGGTCATATTGCGCGCGAATGCAGAGCTAAGCGCAAACGATCCAGGTCATCGTCACCACCTCCAACGAAAGATGGTAGAAGAATGGCTCAACAGTCCACCAATGAGTCACCGTTAAACAGAATCGAGCACAGAGAAGGCGGAAAACGCGGTAATGCTGATGCCCTGTCTCGTCGGCCATGCAAGGTAGAATACAGGCACTGCTCAAAGGCTGAGTGCAAAGAGAATATCGTGGATGTCCGACGATTGCAGTTTGAGTCGGGAGAAGATTGGTCGACGGAACAACGAAGAGATCCCATTCTGGGCAAAATAATTTCGGCCATAGAAACGGGCAAGCGACCTAGTCGCAAAGAAATTACCTCCGAAAGCCCTCTTTTAAAATCTTATTGGGCCCAGTGGGACAGTCTACTTATAATAGATGGTTGCTTATACCGCAAATGGGAAAGTGAGGACGGTAAATCTCACCGGAACTTGATCGTCGTCCCAGACTCCAAAATAAGAGATGTCTTGTCGGAGTTTCACGATGGGCCAAGTGGAGGACATCTTGGCATAGCAAAGACCGCTGAAAAGGTAAAGCAGAGATTCTACTGGGTCGGCTGTCAAAAATCCATTGCCGACTGGATCGCCAATTGTGAAAGGTGCATAAAAGCTAAAGGTCCAACACGGAAGAGTCGAGGCTACATGCAGCAGTATAATTCAGGAGCCCCTTTTGAAAGAATCGCAATGGATGTAGCTGGACCGTTCCCCACAAGCGACTCTGGGAACCGGTATGTCTTAGTGGTCATGGATTACTTCAGTAAATGGCCGGAGGTTTATGCTATCCCAAATCAAGAAGCCAGGACAATTGTGGATGTGTTCAGCAAAAATTGGATTTGTCGCTATGGTGTTCCATCTGAGGTTCATTCCGATCAAGGTAGGAATTTTGAATCAGCGATCTTCAAGGAAATGTGTGACTCCTACGGAATTAAGAAAACCAGAACGACGCCCCTACATCCACAATCAGATGGCATGGTGGAAAGATTCAATCGCACCCTTGAAGAACATCTACGGAAAGTGGTGGACAGTGGCCAACGAGACTGGGATGAGCATATTCCAAAGTTTTTATTGGCTTATAGATCGGCCATTCATGATTCCACATCCCGGACCCCAGCCAAAGTTCTGTTCGGAAATGAATTAAAGCTACCTGGCGATTTGATATTCGGCGCTACCCCAAACGACGATGTGAACCAAGATGAAGACAGCCAAAACTCTTTTAGTAAAGTCCACGATGCAGTCCGACATCGAATAAAAATGGTTAGCAACCGCATGAAGGCAAGGTACGATCGAGCGGCAAATACCGATGGGTTTCAAGAAGGGCAACTGGTACTATTGTTCAACCCACAACGAAAGAAAGGACTATGCCCCAAATTGCAAACGCACTGGGAAGGACCCTACAAGATTGTCACGAAAATAAATGACGTCGTTTATCGCATCCAGAGGAGCGGCAGTCCCAGGTCGAAGATGAAAGTTGTACATTTGGAGCGGCTGACCCCCTACGGAACGGGAACTGTGCCTATTCGGGACGAACAGGCTTAAGCGGGGGGCAATGTTACGAATATAACTTTAGATTTAAGTTAATTTAGATGAATTCCGTTAATTTAAGAATTTGAATTGTAACGTAAATTTCTACTACGCAGTTGATTTGAATAACTTCACAACAACCACTGTATAGATTTTTCTACATCCTTCCATTTCCTCTTTCATTTTCTATTTTGTTATTGTCGTACAATTCTTGTTAAACGTCATTCCTCTTTCTTTGTTATTCCCTCGCCTGTATATGTGTTGTTGTTATTCCTCTTTCTTTGCCTGTATATGTGTTGTTGTTATTGTAAGTTCGTTTACTCAAGTTTGTTGTTGTTATTGTTCACTCAGTAAGTTTGTTGTTGTTATTGTTACTCAATGAGTTTGTTGCATTGGTAGATTGTTCGTGATCTAGGTGTTACCAGATCGTCTAGAAACTTCTGTAGCGACAGACAGGGCTCATATAAATAGAGGGAATGGAAAGGCAGTGAGTCAGTTGTGAATCAGATCGCGAATTGAAACCGTCGTGTAAAGTAAAGTGCAAAGTAAAGTTGTGTGAATAAAATCATTGTAATAATCGTAATCAGAAAGAACCCGCGTTTTATTTGGTACGAATTGTATCGGGAAATAAAACAACGTCTACACGGGATTTAGTAAAACCCAAGAACGTAACAATATTATTATCCACACCACTTTCTATGGAAAATATATTTATCCGCGATCTTTTCTATTTAAAATATTTTTTATCCGCGGCATTTTATGTGGAAATTATTTTTATTCGCGTCATTTTCCATAGAAAATGTTATTATCCGCACCCATTTCCATAGGAAATATTTTTATCCGGAACGTTTTCCATTGAAAATATTTTTATCCACACCACTTTCTATGGAAAATATTTTTATCCACGCCTATTTTCTTTGATAATTTTGTTATCCTCGACCTCTTCTATTGAAAAACTTTTTATCCGCAACATTTTCAATTAGAAAATTTTGTTATCCGGACCAATTTCTTTGGAAAATAATCCGCAACATTTTTAATATAAAATTTTGTTATCCGCGAGATTTTTATCCGCAACATTTTTTATTGAAAATATTTTTATCCGAGGTATTTTATTTGGGCAAGCTTATTATCCGCAACATTTTTAAAAGATAATATTGTTATCCGAAACATTTTCTATATGAAATACAGTTATCCGCGCCGCTTTTCTTGAGAAAATTGTTATTCACAAACTTTTTTATGCGAAAAACTTTTATCCGCAACTGTTAACCGCAACATTTACGATTGGAAATATTTTTATATGCGCATTTTTCTGCAGACAATATTAATATCCGCAATTTTTTTATGAAATTTGATTTATCCGCACAAATTTTTAAATAAAATAGTATTATCCGCGGCCGTATATACTGAAAATATTTTTATCCGAATCATTTTCTATATAAAATATGATTATCCGTGCCCGTTTCTGTTAAAAATATATTTATTCGTGCAATTTTCTATAGAAAATATTTTTATCAGTGCAATTTTTTGTTGAAAATATTGTTATCCGCGAAAATAAATTATCCGCAATGTTTTCTATTTAAATCCGCAGCAGTTGGTAAAGAAAATATTATTATCCGTGAAAAAAAAATGTTATCGTATCAGTTTTTATAGATAATACCGTTATCCGCAGTATTTACTATAGAAGATATTTTTATCCGCGTCCTTAAAAACATTTTATCTGCAATGTTGTCTTTTGAAAACCTTTTTATACGCTGCATTTTCTATTTAAAACATAAAAAAGATTTCTAATAGCAATCCTTAACTTTCGCTTTTTATTATGCCTTTATCCAATATTTTCTATTTTTTAATAGAAATAGAATAGAAAGAAACAGGCATTACATTCAATATTTCCATTTAGAAAGAAAACCTTATTAAAATCATTATTGTCTATGGAAAATTTATTTACTTTAAAAAAAAATCGCTTAATTCCCCCAAAGTAACCACCAACCCCAACGGTTACTTTCACTGACTCTCAGTGCTGCCAACATGTTAACGCAAACAATGAGAGCAGCGGTTTCTTGGTGTTGTTATTGGCTCTCTCTCACTGCTCACACTGGCAAAAACAGCTGTGACAGCTAGCTATTTTGACAATTAACGAGACTTGAGGAACCAAATTTCTGCAATTTCCCCAAAGAAGAAAATATGGCTGGCCGTGAAGCTGTTAAAAGAGCCGTACAACAAGTGCGTCCCATTTTATCCGTTGACCGGGATGAGGCACGTCGTCGTGCTTTGAATTTATACAAGGCCTGGTATCGTCAAATTCCATACATTGGTAAATAGAATTTTGCGACGAGCTAAACCGCTTGTTATGTCATAGGGGGTCCCCTGTGTATGCTAGATGGAGAAATAAACAAATTAATTTTAAAATTTTCTATTTGTAGTTAACGAATACGATGTCCCATTGTCGGTGGAACAATGCCGCGAGAAATTGCGTGAAGAATTTGTAAAGCACCGCAATGTCACCGATGTCCGAGTCATCGATATGTTGGTTATTAAGGTAAGGCTGTGAACTATGTTGGCCACAAGGGGAAATGGAACCATGGAATGCATAAAACATCATGACCGGATTAATATACTGTCATGAAAATCAAGTTTTCACTCCATATATCGCGAATTAAATATCGAATTACAGTCCAAATAGTTTATACGACATATCGATTATAACGCCTTATCCAAAAGTCCCGAGAACCTCCTGTCTTTATTTTGATATTGGATATAAGGAAACATCACTTATAGAGACCAATTTCGCCGGTCCTGTGACCGTCGTTATTAGCGATTCGACTGTATATTTCTCCAATGATAATCAAAGCTTTGTTTTCAATACTGTGACTTGAAAAAATCAGTATATCGTGTAGTCGTTATCAGAAAGGTGGACGCATTAAATCACAAAGACCTTACATTTTCGAAAAAAGTTTGAACATAATTAGACTTCAAGTGATTTCTAAGGACGCCAATTTCAATTTTCCTTGACCAGGTTCCAATCAAGACCAAAATTGTAACTATCAAGCAAATGTAGCAAGTTCAGTTGAGGGGATCATCTCGGATTTTCTTGAAATTATTGTTACAGATAGGTCTAGTCTGCCTGATCACAAGATGAGTCCCTTTAACTTAAGACCTTTGGTAAATAGATAATAATTCTATACCCCTTCCCTGTTCTAGTCTTTTTCCGTTTCATTTGTATTAATTTTATTTATTTTCTCTTTTTCCAGGGCCAAATGGAACTTAAAGAATCTATCGAAATCTGGAAACAAAAGGGCCACATTATGCGCTACTGGAAGGAATCGCAAGAACCCAAGCCAACAGATTTCTTGTCGAAATTCATTCAAGGTGTTAATTAGATTTGAAATCGAAACACAACAACAACAAAAAAATATATAGTATAATTTTCGTTAGAAACCCCTAAACTGAAATGTTTTGAAGTGATATCAAGAAGTGAATAAAAAGAAAACAACAACAACAAAGAGAAAATCGAAATTTGCTGAATTTAAATAGAAATCACGCAGAGAGAAGTAATTTAAATATGTATTGAGAAAAACGAAAAATAGAAAATTCGCAAAAAAAAATTCAAATGAAGTGACTCAAAGTAGGGCTCAACATTTGGAACATTCCTTAAGCTGGATTTTAAGCGAAAGGAGGTAAATTATTTTTAAATTATATTGGAATTTAAAGTAGTCTAATTCTGATTTTTCTATCTATTACAAAAGGAGGTTACAAATCAAATAATTATGTAGAAATATTTATCAAAATACCCAATTAGCGTCAATTATATTGGTCTCTCAAAAGTGGACCAATGTTGACAATTTTTGGTAGGAAGATTGACCAGAGAATAAGACGATCCGTTATATGGGGGCTACCCTAAAAAATGGACCAATGTTGATAACCTAAAGAGACAACCTAAAGAGAATTCAAAATACAAATTTATAGCTACTTTGGTAAAAAACGTGCGCAAACTCCCCTAAACACTTGAAAGGCGGGTACCGTTAACCTAAAAAGTGGACCAATTTTGATCATTTTTGGTATAAAGATTGTCTATCAAATGAGAACTCAAAATACCAAATTACAGCCGAATCGGTTGAAAATGCGCCACAAAGCCGCAAAATAACGAATAATCGAAGGTATCGTTATATGGTGTATACCCTAAAATGTTGATCAATGTTTATAATTTTTGGTAGGGAAATTGGATACTCAATACCAAATTATAGCTAATTTGGTTGAAAAACATGCCCAAGCTCCCCAAAATACCGAATATTTGGCGGTACCGTTATATGGAGACTATTCTAAAAATGGGCCAATGTTTATAATTTTTGGTAGGAAGATTGCCATCTCAATGAGAACATAAAAATACCCGATTAAAGCCAATTCGGTTGAAAAACGTGCCACAAATCCGCAAAATACCGAATATTTTGGGGTACCGTTATATGGAGACTATCCTAAAAAATGGATCAATGCTCATAATTTTTGATAGAGAGATTTAGCAACCAACGATAACTCAAAATACCAAATTATAACTAATATGATTTAAAAATGTGACCAAAATCAGGAAAATACCGTATAATTGAGATGAACCGTTATATGGGGTCTAGCCTAAAAATTGATCAATGCTGATCATTTTTGGTAAGAAGATTAGCTACCCAAAAATAATTGAAAACACCAAAATACAGACAGTAAAAAACATGGGTTGATATTAAAAAAATTAATTAATTTTTAGTACGGAGAAGTGCTATGCCAAATGTGGACCGATGTATCCAAGCTATGTCTGTGCAAAATGTCAAAGCCCTATCATTAATATCGTGATTTTAACAGGTAGACAGATGAGGTCTTTATGGGGTCTACGGCGAATATATTCATAAATTGACATTTTTGGAAATTTAAAGAAAATATTGATAATTTTTACCATATGGCCGATCGATTGATCAACCAAGGAAACAAACAATTTGCTTTTAAAACTCCAAAGAAAACCAAATTACCTGTTTGAAAACGATGAATACAATTGAAGAGGATTTTGAAGAGAGCTTGGCACAATCAAATAAGAGAAATAACATAACTCTTTTAAACACAACACAAATTATTATTTTTCTTTGCAAAACACACTAGCACACACTCGCGATTACAACAGGCCATTTTAATATTAACACAATTGGGAATGACATTTAACATTGCTCTATTATTTTTTGTAACATTTTCAACACAACAGGAACCGGACACTTTATATTTTCGTATTATTTTCTTCTCATTAACATATAGGAGAATATAAAAACAACAAATTCTCACAGAGCGAAATCGGAGGGGAACATAAATACATCAAAAAGGGAGATTATCCCTCTTTAAAAATTTCGCGCGCAAAATCTGAAAGCTTTTTTTGCACACAATGCAACTGAGAGGGGAATTGCTTTCGTTAACATTTTATCGAACACATACACTCACACGCGATTTGCGACTCTTGATTAGGAAATTCGCAAATTTTAGCAATTAAAACACAATTCCAATGGGAAAAACACTTCACAAATGCCAACCAGCGACTTATTTATTGGATACACAAACTTTTATTTGAATTTCTTTAGGATTTTCGCGACAAAAACACGAAATAACCAAGAGTGATTTCAAGAGCGACCGTTTGTTAAGACTGCGACGATTGAACTGATTTGATGGAGAGAGACAATTGTTTGAAGGAAGTTTGCAGAGGATCTTCGTCAAATCAGAATACCGTGCGAAAGGGATGGCTATACAACAGGAAAAATATTTGTATGAAGGAATTGAAAATCGAATGGATTCTTATTTGGCAGAGTTTCCGGTTTAATGCAAAATAATATTGTAGGGAAATGTTACATGGGGGTATTTTGACAGTTTAAAATAGGTTTGAGTAATATATGTTTAATTAACATACAGCCTTGAAATTTTGTACAAACATTGCAAGTACTTCTTGGATGTTTGGTAATGCAAATGGGATATATCGGTCCACGTTTTTGTATAGCCCCCATATAACAGTACCGCCTCATATTCGGTATTTTGCGGATGTTGGACACCGAATCGGCTGTGATTTGTTATTTTGGGTTCTCAATGTGTAGCGAATCATCTTATTAAAAATTATTTATGTAAATCCACCAAAGTTTCGATGTAGCGATGTATAACGGTACCCCCAAATATTCGGTATTTTGGGGTTCTTGAACACATTTTTGTAATCGAATTGGTTGTAATTTGGTATTCTGGGTTATCAATCAAATTTCAAGGTAGCGCCCCATTTAATGCTACCCCCCCCAATATTCGGTATTTTGGAATTGTTGGGCACGTTTTTTCATCAGAATTGACTGTAATCTGGTATTTTGGGTTCTCAATGTATATCCAATATACCTACTAAATATCATTAATATAAAGTAAAGTTTTGGTGTAGCCCCCATATAACGGCACCCCTCAATATTCGCTATTCTGGGTATATTTGGCACAATTTTTATCAAAATTGGCTGTTATTTGGTATTTTGGGCTCACAATGTGCAGCAAACCTCCCCACTAAAAATTATTTATATTGACCCAAGTTTCAAGGTAGCCCCCATATAACGCTCAAACGCCCATATACCCTCAAATATCCTTCTTTTTGCAGATTTTTGGAAAGCTATTCAATCGAATTGACTGTAATTTGGTATTTTAGATTTTCATTGGATGACACATCTACCTACCAAAAAATATTAAAATCGGTCCCCTTTTTCGCATAGCCCCCATATAACGGTACCCCCCCAATTTGTCGGTATTTTGCAGATTTTGGGCAAATTTTGAAATCAAATTAGCTGTAACTATGTATTTTGAATTATTATTAGATAGCTAATTTTCCTACCAAAAATTATAATAAATTGGTCCATTTTTTACGATAGCCCCCATATAACGATACCCCCAAATATTCGGAATTTGGGGATTTGTGGCATGCTTTTCAATCGATTTGACTGTAATTTGGTATTTTCAATTATCAATTTGTACAGAAACTCCCTACTAATTTTGTTCATATTGACCCTATTTTCAATGTACTCCATCTCTTTTAAATCCGTGCAAAACGGAAACTCTACTAAGAATAGAAATATCCTATTCCTCCTTTTTTAACTAATTTCCTATATAGCTCTCCCTTTCGCACCGTATTCCAATTTGACGAAGATCCTCTGTAAACTTCCCTCACACACAATTGTCTCTCCGTCAAATCAGTTCTATCGTCGCAGTCTTACCAAACGGTCGCTCTGGAAAACGCTCTTGATTATTTGGTGTTTGTGTCGGGAAATTTTAAAGAAATTCAAATAAAAGTTTGTGTATCCAATAAATAAGTCGATGTTTTGCATTTGTGAAGTGTTTTCCCCATTGGAATTGTGTTTTATTTGCTAAAATTTGTTAATTTTCCTAATCAAGAGTCGCGATTCGCGTGTGTGTGTGTAGGTGTTCAGTGAAGTTTTAACGAAAGAAAATCCCCTCTCAGTTGCATTGTGTGCCACAAAAGCTTTCAGCATTTGCGCGGGAATGTTTTAATGCCGAATCAGGCAAACCTCTGCACGCAAAAAAAGCACTTTGAGAGTAATTTCAAAAGAGCGGTTATCTTCCAGTTGCTGTTTTAATGAGAAAATTGCTTTGTTGTTTTTGCATGTGTGTTCTCTCCTTCTCGGTCAGTAGTTAATGAAAAAAGAAGCAATAAAATATCAATTTCTTTTGTGAGAAAGTTTGTTGTATTTGTATTCCCCTATGTGTTATTAAATAGAAAATTTAAAAAATAAAGTAAATAATAATAATAGAAAATTTGTAAAAGAATCCTATTCTTTTAATATTAAAATGGCCTGTTGTAATCGCGAATGTGTGTGTGCTAGTGTTCTACAAAGAAAAATAATAATTTGTGTTGTGTTTAAAAGAGTTATGTTATTTCTCTTATTTGATTGTGATAAGCCTCTCTTCAAAATCCTCCTCAAATGCATTCATCGTTTTCAAACAACAGGTAATTGGTTTTTGTTTTTCTTTGGAGTTTTATAACGATCATATCGTAAAAATATGTCAATATTTTCTTTAAGTTTTCAAAAATTTCAATTTGTAAAAATAGTCACCATAGACCGCCATAAAGACCCCATCTGCATGGGGTCTGTTGAAATTACGATAGAGCTTGCAATATTTACAATAGTGTTCTGAAATTTTGCATAGACATTGCTAGTACTCCTAGGATGTTTAATATTGCAAATGGGATATATCGGTCCACGTTTTAGGGTACTTCCCATATAACGGCATCCCCAAATATTCGGTATTTTGAGACTTTTTGACACGTTTTACAATTGTCAATATTTTCTTTAAGTTTAAAAAAATTTCAATTTGTAAAAATGGTCACCGTAGACCGTCATAAA